ATTTCAGAAGATCTAGAATAATGTTCTTATCTATGATATTAACTGTATAAAGAAGCAGACTGTTTTTCTTGAAGATTTCTTCTAAGTCTGTGATCACATACTTTGCTTAAATTATGTTAAAATAGTGACATTTCATTTTATTAGTAAATTTCATATAATCTAATGAATTTATCTTCTTTCAATTCTTTATAAAAGAAAAGAAATAGAATATAAAGTTAGTATCTATTCTGAAGTTAAGTAGATATCTTACTAATATCTTCTCATTTGAGATATACATTGTGATTATAACATGAACTCAGAGATATAAGAATTATCAATTCTTCATTTCTTTCTCTTCTTTATCTTTCACAAATACATTTATTAGCAGAGAAGTTAACTTTAAGAAGATATCTTCTTAATTTCTTCTCTTCTTCAGCTTCTTACAATCACTGATATAGTAATTATTAGCTCTACAGTTAAAATAGAGATCTTTATCAAATCTTTTTTAATATTTCTTCATAGTGAGTGAAGAATCAGAATACTTGAAATTCTTCTTTACTTTCTTTACACTGAAGTTATTATAATACTGTTTAAATTCTGTCATTAATTACTTAGAAGAGATCTTATTAATCTTTTTCTCAGAGAATTGATTATTCAAATAGATCTGAGAAGCTAGATTAACAAGCTCAGTGTAATTGATTAATGAACTCTGATATTATAATATTATTATTTATATCTTATGAGTCAGCTTTGTAAGATAAAGCTGTGTTTTTAATTGATTTAAATTATCAGTCAATTTCTCTTAATATTCTTCAAATCTTGTATTGAAATCAGAAGAATTCTTATTATCTTATTAATATAATAAGTTAAACTGCTGTGCTGCTGTGAAGCTGTAATTATAATAATCTTTAATTTAATTCAGTAGAAAGTTCTTGAATTCTTCTTAAGTTATAGCAGTATTAGTATACTTAAGCTCTCTTTTCTTAATAACTTAGATAGTTACAGAGATGTCTTCAAGAAGATTGATAGTGTATATTACTTATATCTTATGAGTATTATACTAGCTCAGATTAAGATGAAATTTCTGTTTAAAAGTACAGATAAAGCTGTGAAATTCAGATAATATATTTTTCTTATATTTCAGAGAATCTCTGATCTTAATCTCTCTATCTTTATAATAGATTTAGATGTGTAGAAGCTGCAGTGATAACAGAGTGATTGAAAAGCTTATATTAAAATATACAGTAAGTTCAGAAATCTCAGATTTCTGCTAAGATAGAGATGTACACACTTCAGAAAATAATGTAGTGTTTTTCTCAGAGAATGAGATTAGATCAGTTTCAATACAGATGTATAAAATTATATTAGTCTATTAAAGCTTGACTGATTTAAATATATAATTAAATTAAGTAATTCAAATTATAATATAATAAAACTGAAGTGATGACTAGTTAGTAATATTATATAGAAATAGTTATTTAAGAAGCTGTATAAATAAGCTTAACTATCTTACTTGAATAGTGAGCTTGTAGACTACAGAGTTATTATAAGAATATCACAGATATAATACTTAGTATACTAAGAAGATTGTATAAGATATACAGTAACTCTTGTATATATTTCAGTAGAAGAAAAAATAAATCACTGACTTCTTTAATAAGAAGTCAGTATCTAGCTATTCTATATAGATAATGAGCAGATAGACTGATCATAAGACTGTGTCTGAGATCAGAACTAGATTTTTTGATAGTCTCATTATCAATTCAACTGATCTCATTACACAGTTTTAACATTAGATAGTAATCTCATACTATCTCAGTGAGACTTACTGTCTACTCTTATCACATTTTTCAAATGAGATTATAATTTTCACTTCTCAATTTAAATTATTTTTATTGCTTTAAATGACTTTAAATCTCATTTGAGTATTATTAAAAAGTGTTACTTTTTAAAAAATTAAAAATAGTCTAAAAAAAACCTTAAAATGTCTAAAAATAGTAACTTTATGTTAAGGATGAGACTAAATGAGATTAAATGAGATTACTTTCTTATTTTTTTCAAGTCATGATTTCATTTTAAGATCTGATATATAGTTACTTTACATGTTTTTTTAATAGTCAGTCTCAGTGAGATTCACGCCAAGAAATGTATGAGATCAGATCAAATGAAATTAAATATAAAATTCATAATCTCAGTAGTCAGTCTATGAGCAGATACTCTTCTCTCATTTCATAAGTGAGAATAGTCAGAGTAATATCTCAGCAGTATCTCATTATCAAGAAAGAGTAATCTACTGATCTTGTATAGAAGTGAGATTTTTATATTTATTAATCAGATCTTTCTATGATATATTTAAATAATATCATAGAGTAGTTGAAAACCGGTTCAGATGAAATGAAATCATCTGCATGAAAGTGATAAGCTGTGTGAAACCGCAACAGAGTCTTGACGCGGCCGGAAGTGTAACATATATTTCTTTGAATTTATAAATAAGATTGAATAGCTGACTCTATAGTCTGTACAGCTCTGATTAATCTGATAATAATAATAGAGATAATACAGAGTGAAAGAGAGTAGTAGAAGAAGTAGAGATAATAATAATGATAATAATAATAATAAGAGAGTAGAGAGTGAAAGAGATGAAAAGAGTGATAACAGTGAATAGAGATGAAGAATAAAAGTGATAAAAAGAGTTATAAAACAGTAGAGATAATAATAATGATAGAGAGAAATTACAGAGTGATAGAAACAGTGATAATAATAGAGAGAGTAGAGATAATAAGAGAAAGATAGAGATAGAGAGATGAAAGTAATAGAAAGAGCTACAGAGTGATGAAGATAGTAATAATAATAGAGAGAGTAGAAATGAAAGAGATAATAAGAGAGTAAAAGTAGAGAATGAAAGTAATAGAGAAGGCTATAAAGTGATAAATGTGATGATGATAATAGAGAGAGTAGAGAGTGAAAGAAGTGAAAGAGATGATAAGAGATAATAAGAAATAATCTGAAAAGAGAGTGAAAGTGATAGAGAGACTGCAGAGTGGTAGAGATGGTAATGATGATAGAGAGAGCAGAGAGTAAGAGGTGAAAGAGATAAAAGAAGTGATAGAGATGATACAGAGTGATACAGAATGAAAGAGAGTGATAGAGAGAGAGAATAGAGGCGGTAGAGACAGTGATGATGATAGAGGGAGTAGAGAGTAAGAGGTGAAAGAGGTAGAAGAAGTGATAGAGGTGATACAGAGTGATACAGAGTGAAAGAGAGTGATAGAGAGAGAGAGTGATAGAAGCGGTAGAGGTGATGATGATGATAGAGGGTAAGAGGTGAAAGGGGTGGTAAAGGAAGGGTAGAGAGTGATTGAGGAAGAGGGTGGAAGTGATAGAAGGGCTGCGGGGCGGTAGAGACGGTGATGATGATAGAGGGGGTGAAGAGTAAGAGGTGAAAGAGGTAGAAGAAGTGATAGAGGTGATACGGGGTGATACAGAGTGAAAGAGAGTGGTAGAGGGAGAGGGTGGTAGGAGCGGTAGAGGTGGTGGTGGTGGTAGAGGGGGTAGAGAGTAAGGGGTGAAAGAGGCCGTAAAGGGGGGGTAGGGAGTGGTTGAGGGGGAGGGTGGAAG